GTCGTGAGGTTGGTTTTTTTCCCGCCTCCCGGGCGGGCGCTCGCAAGCGAAGAGGAGACGCCCCGATTCGGTGCCGGTAGTGAGCAGTGGTTGCGTGTTGAAGCCGTGTGTCGTCAAAAAGCGGCGGCCAGTGGTCGCGCTAGCGCCAAGCCGCCGGAGAAGCATGCTGGGTGTTGGTGTTTCTTTCTCTTCTTCCATACCGGCCTCTTTGGCCGGTGGCGGTTAAAACCTTGCTCCCCCCCTACCCCCCGAAAAAAAAAAAAAAACGACAGGGGAAAAACAGGAAAAAAATAGCATACTTTTGTGTGATGGATAGTGGTTTAAAAATGAAGAAGAAAGACATGCTATGGCCGACGCTGCGGTAGCCGGTGGCGATTCCAACCCATAAATGCGCAGCATTCGCGCTGCAATGCCGGCAAAGTGGGGGCGCGGAACGTTTCTCACCAACCGCGCGGCCGAGATGGAGGGGGTTGGGCTTGGCAGGTTTACGCGCGCCCGCTTCCACCGCGGTCTCCTGCCTGGCTGGAAAGCAAGAAAAAAAAAGAACTAGGAGAAACCACAATTGATGACAGCAAAATTGGGCAAAAATTTAATGCCCTCCCCTCTTTGCTACTAAAAAACAAACAGAAAGGCGCGAGCGCAAACCATATGTATAATATGCATATATATATATATATATATATATATGCATATTATGAGGAAGCGGGGCAGCAAACGCACAACATCATTCCTGTTTTTGTTTTTGTTCCTGGCACTTTCCACGTCTATAGAACTGATCGTGCCGCTCAGTCCTCCCGCCGCCCCCGCGTTGGATCATTCACTCAACTCTTGCAGTGACGTTTCCCCATCACAGTGTTCGTCCTGCTCCTCCTTTAACTGTTCCTTAAGGGTCTCCAGATCCTGCGCCAGTTTTTCAGTGTCCTTTTGCAGTGCTGCCTCCCTTTCACAGTGTTCGCCCTGCTCCTCCTTTAACTGTTCCTTAAGGGTCTCCAGATCCTGCGCCAGTTTTTCATTCTCATTATGTAGTAGTTGGATTTTCCCCTTGAAATCCTCCAGTTGCATCTGGAGCTGGCTTTGCTTTGCACCCTCGTCCGATGAACTCCCGGTTGCTTCCCACTCACAACTGTTCCGCTCTGCAACGCCATCGTCCAAGGGAGAATTCAGTTTACACCACAACTCAGACTCAACTGACATACCTGTGTTCTTAGCTGAGGGTGGCGGCAAAGGAAGAAATAGTATCCCTAGTTTTTAAAAGTTGATTGATTCTCCAGATGGATACTGCACGAGAAAGAGGTGAATAGAGAGAGAAACACATCAACAGTCAACGAGAACCGGGTATACATCCTTCAACAGCCCAAGCTGCCTGGAGGTAGACAAAACACAACAGTTTCGTCGAACCAATGGAAGCGAGCTGTTTAATTTTTCTAGCAACGCGGAAGAGCCTTCCCACTCCTGCACTTTTGCCACGCGAGAGAGTCTTCGAATGTGGGGGCGAAGGTAACAAATGCCCAAAGAACTTCTTCCTCACACCCAGATGAAAGGCACGTGGCGCCTTCTGGAGAAGGGGAAGAGTTGATTGGGCAGCTGCAGGATCATTTACTTGTTCCAAAACCATATAGAAATGGAAGACCTGGGCGGCATTTCATTAGAGGATGCGCTGGAGCCAGTGGGGGTTTGGCGTTCAATACCATAATAGACACGTTACTGCACTCCAATGTGCCATGTTATCTGACGTTCGCCTGTTTCCCCACTTCTTGTGAGGCGCCAATCGTTGTTAATATTGTTGTCTTCTCAAAACGACCATCGTCGTTCATGCATGCTGCTTTGTGAACGGATATGTTGAAAATTCCATTCACTCTACTTCGTCTTCAGAACCCAGATTTAGTGAAAGAAAAAAATATAGCAATGAAAAAAAGGAAGTGTAACACCAAACTATGGCTCTACATGCATGAAGAGTGAACTCGTTTAACGAGCAGAAGAACTTTCGTAAGAGCGTTCGCACAAAATAAAAAAAACAACATTAAAAATAAAAAGGCCATGACCAGCGGACATGCATCTCAGAATACACACGTAATATATATATATATATATATATATATATATTTTGGAACGAATGTGAGCTATGCATCAGCTTTCAAGATACCCCCGAAACTCTCTTGTCATAACGGGGCGGTCCCCAAGGACGAGCCAAAGTTCATGTGCGGTGAGCGTTTCCTGCCGCATTAAAAGCCCAGCCACCACGCGGGTCTTATCAAGGTATTGCAATAGAATCGACCGTGCGCTTCCCAAAGCCACTTCCAAAAGTTTGTGAACAGATTGGTCCACAAGATCTTCCTTCACAGGACCAAACGGCTTTTGAATGCTATCTTCTCGATCCAATTGATATCCAAAGTGTCCAATGGCTTCTGGGTCCATGCCGTACGTACAGACAAAATGTCGAACCTTATTTGTTGCGGACTGTACGTCCTCGGCCGCGTTGGTGGAGACGTCTTGAAAAAAGTACTCCTCAGCTACGTATCCACCCAACTGCGCCGCTAAATTCTGCATCAATTGTTCCTGGGTAGAAATAAACGCTGTTTGCGGTAGTCGTTGCGTAACGCCTGTGCGGTGACGTCCACGGGGAAGAATCGTCGTCTTAACGACAGGATCAGTCTTTTCCTGAAACCAGTGAAGGATAACAACACCAGCCTCATGAAATGCAATGCGTTCCCGCTCTGTCTCGCTCAACTTCACCGCACTTCGCTCCAATCCAACTAGCACACGCTCCACCGCCTGATGAAAATGGTGTTGCGAGACGTACTCCTTCTTCTCACGCGCGGCTTGAATGGCGGCCTCGTTACAAATATTAAAAATATCCGCCCCACTGCACCCTGGCGTAAGCGCAGCCACAATCCGCGCATACTCATGTATATTACTAGACACCTCCAATTTCAGTGGCTTCAAATGAACTTCCGCAATCGCCTCCCGATCCTTGTAGGAGGGTTTTTCTAGCGTTATTTTCCTATCGAACCGCCCCGATCGGGTGAGGGCGTTGTCAAGAATATCGGCACGATTGGTGGCCGCAAGAACCATTATCCCTGTGGCATCCTTAAACCCATCCAGCTCCGAGAGAAAAGCATTCAGCGTGCCTCTCGAGCTGCCACCACCCGTCTCTGACTTGCGCTTCCGCCCAAAGGCGTCAATCTCATCCACAAATACAACACAAGGTTTGTGCTCGTGCGCTTGACGAAAGAGCTCACGCACCCGTTGTGCCCCGACGCCAACATAGACCTCCTCAAACTCACTTCCTGAGCAGCTGAGAAACGGCACCATCGCTTCTCCCGCAATTGCCTTTGCTAAAAGCGTTTTTCCCACACCAGGAGGTCCATCCAGGAGAACGCCCTTGGGAAGTTTTGCCCCCAATGCCTGGTAACGAGCAGGATTCTTCAAGAAATCAATCACCTCCACCACCTCATGCTTTGCCTCAGTTAAGCCGGCAACATCCCCCAGACGAGTGGAAACGGAGATTTCGCGTTTAAAATTGAATCGACTCTTTTCCGCAACAACTGATGCCATTTTTGCCGAACGGCTGAAAGTCGAGTTGGTCGCTGCCAGAAGGGGTAGAAGGCACAGAAGCAGCATGGGAACCCAGGGATAATACGAATGAAATAAAACAAAAATATCCATGCCCTCATCACACGAGGCCTCAAACGCCCTATAATCCACAAAGTTTCGAACACCCAGATATTTTCCCTTTTCGTCAAGAAATGCTGCCGTGTGCTTTGACAAATCTACAGCAACTGCCGCGTAGTTATTGATGTCGCCAACCATGTACGACCTCGCAACATACATTCTAGCCATTGCAATAGCTGACAGGAGAAAACAAATAACTCCTATCCGGCGTATGCGTTTCCATTTGAGGGCCTTGGCCGCCAAATTCATCGTTAAAATACGTTCCTCAGGCGACATGGTGTAAGCGCGCTTGACAGATTCTGCGGGTACGCGCGTAAATGGCATCTTCCCCAAAATATATTTTGAATAAAAGGCCTCAAAACCCTTTGGATAACGCTTCCCAGAGAGAATATTGGCTGTGGAGGGCGTGGAGCTTTTGGGTGCCTTCGCGTCTCTCTCGCCCGTTTTGCCATTTCTTTCATCTTTGTTATTATTATCATTATTGATATTATTGTTCTCCCCGCCACCCGTGGCACAAAACCGCACTCGCGTGTTCAACACATGAGCAACAAAAGGAGAGACATCAATGACACGAAGAGGACGGAACATTTCAGGCTCCTGCTTCTTCCGCTTCCTCACTCCCACCCTACCTCCTTATGTGTGTGTGTATTGTTTTTTTTTTTTTTTTTGTCGGTCCTTACTCCTTTTGTGGCAGAACGATATCCATTTAGAGGAGCATGCCAATGCATGCATGTGAAACGTCAATATCAATTCCCCCCACGCACATGCAAAGAGAGTGTGTGTATGTGTGTGTGTGAGAGAGAGAGAGAGAGAGAGAGACCGACACTCACAAGGGGTATGGAACACTGTAAAAGACGAGGCAAGTAAAGCAAAATAAGAGAAAAATTCTTCTTGCCACTGAAAGAGCCTGTGGACGATGTTGTATTTGTTCTTTGAGTATTTATCCTGTTGTGAATGACGGTTAACGTCGTCGTAGGAGCTCTACCTGTGTGGAATTGTAGGTTG